CATAGGACAATCTGATGGACTTTTGGTAACTAAGACCAGAATTTTAGAGGAAGCTATAATATTCATAAGAATAATTTCAGTGACCAACCTTACTCCAAAGCTATCCTCACCCTCCCACCTTATAGAGCCTCCCCCCTTTCCCCCATTCAGTTCTAAACTTCCTGGTTTAGAAGGCAGGTGGGCATTTTGAAGCAGGTCAGTCTCACAGATCTCAAAGCCTTGCTCCTCTCCCTCTCTCTCGCAGCCCCTTGCCCTTCTCTTTATGCTCTGTAGATTCCCCCAAAGCATTTTATTCCAGTGACAATAAATATGAGCTACTGATGATGTTTAGTTCAGTAAGTATTGATGAATCACCAGGTACATGATACTGTGCTCGACTCTCTGGGGCAAAGAAAGATAATGAAAAAGTCACTGTAAAGAAATACCCCTTGTTGGTACCAATGAACTATGCTTTTTGGTGTGAAAAATTAATAGGGAATGAAATTTTTTATTAGGGAGGGACAACTAATCAAGCAACTCTGGCTGTGTCTTGTTCCTGGAATTTTTTTTTTTTTTTTTTTTTTTTTTTTGAGACAGAGTCTCACTGTGTTGCCTGGGGTAGAGTGCCGTGGCATCATCCTAGCTCACAGCAACCTCAAACTCCTGGGCTCAAGCAATCCTTCTGCCTCAGTCTCCTGAGTAGCTGGGACTACAGACATGGCCACCATGCCTGGCTAATTTTTTCTATATATTTTTAGTTGGCCGATTAATTTCTTTCTAATTTTAGTAGAGACGGGGTCTTGCTCTTGCTCAGGCTGGTTTCGAACTCCTGAGCTCAAACAATCCGCCCGCCTCGGCCTCCCAGAGAGCTAGGATTACAGGCGTGAGCCACCACGCCCGGCCTTGTTCCTGGAATTTTAACAGGCCCCCTCACCAAGCATGGATCGTGGATCCCACCACAGGCATCTCACAACATCCTCAGTCCCAGCCCTCTTCCATATTCTGTTCAGCCTCACAGACCAAAACAACTTCTTAGGCACCTTGCTGTCTTCTTTCCCTCTCATCTCTGGCTGGCACAGAGGCAAGCCCTCCCATTTCCTGCAGAACATTTCCTATGCTTCCCTAACCCTTCCTTCGCTGCATAAAAGGCAGGACTGAGCTTCTCAGACTGTCTTAAGCCCTTTCCTCCTGTCTTACCTTCCACCTGGGAAATTCTCTTCTTCCACAGGCAATAGTTGTACCTTGGTGGTTTGTACCAAAATGAAGCTTAGTCTTCAGCTGCGACCCAGCGTCCAACATGGAAGGGAGAGTCATTCTCCATTACAGTCCCCTAGTGCTACAGGAAGGGAGCCATAATACTCAACAAGAATTTCGTATTTGTGGTGACAGGAGGGCCAATGCTACTCTCATTCAAGCGTGAGGAGCTTACCATAAGCAGGAGAAAGAGAACAGATACAAAAGTGGCTCAAGAGACAGAATTTGCTAATTCCACTCAGTGGCAGTAATGGAATAGTTTAGAGACGTAAATGAGGGAGAAAACCCTCTTTTTTCCAAGTGTTTAAGGAAGGCTTCAAGAAATGAGAGGCTTTTGAACTGGATCTTAAAGAATGAGGGAGGTTTCCATAGGCACAGATGGACAATAGGACAGGCCAAGAGAAAAAATAAACCACACAGAATGGGCAAAACGAGGCATACTTTGGGTATAGAAAAAAGTACACCAGGATTTGAGTCTAAATAGCTGAGTGAGAGTATACCAAAGTTGTTTCTTAATGGGCTCATTAACTTTTTGCCTATTAACTTTTTATTTTAAACTTGAGTAAAAGTTTGTCTCCATCTTAATTGCTGAATCCCTTTGCTTTTCAGGCCAGAGAAGGGGAAGTAGCCATTATCGATAAAGTCCTAGACAATCCAGACCTGACATCTAAAGAATTCCAACAATGGAAGCAGATGTACCTCGACCTTTTCTTGGATATCTGTCAAAATACCACCTCAAATGACCCACTAAGTATTTCTTCTGAAGTAGATGTAATCACTTCCTCTCTGACACACACTCATTCATACATTGAAACGCACGTGTAAGTGTATTTTGCCTTCAGGCATTCTAGCACCTGCTGGCACTCCGAACAAGTATGTGAAGGTAGTTTTTATATCAGTGTGTGGCACACTTGACAAGCTATACTTTAAAGTTACCAAACTATATGAAACAAACCAGATACGGTCATACTACCACTATCTTTAATGAGCATTTGTATATTTTATATGCAGTCAGTGCTCAGCTTATGTTTACCATGTGCAAAATCAACTGTCTTTAATGACTTAAAATTAACTTTTGCAAACAATTCTAAATAGAGGTGGTCTTCAAGTAGTAAAACCACAAAAAGGCAGTTTTCTATCTAAGGTCATCCTTTCTCCCTTTAAGTTAATTTTATATAAACAAGACTTCAAAAGTAAATCACATTTTTTCAGGTGCAGACATCCTTGTGGGTGGGAAAGAATTTAAACCTTTTTTATATTTATTAAAATGTTCTAAGAATTTTCTTAAACATTGCACAAAGTTTAATGCTGTAGTTTTATTTTTGTGAAATGTAGATGCGCATACAAGAGCTAAGCAAAATAGAAGAGCATCAACATAAGAAAAGTTCAGGTATCTAATATTCGTCTTAATAGTCTATTAACTTGTGAAAGCTGGTTAATGGAAATACTATTCCAAATCTATGAGAACACTTAATGGTGTATCAGGGCAAAGCTTTGTAAGATGTTTTTGTAACTAAGACCAAAATTGAAGATAGAGCTGCTTTATTTTCTTGGTTTAAATCTTCCTTTATTTTTGTAGCGATGAAATGCTGATTGTGTACAGAAGAATTTGAGAATGGATTTTTTAAAAGACTTAACTCACCCAGAAAGGCAGCTAACAGCTATATATATAATTTCAGCCCAAACTCATGTTTTTACACTCCAACTCTTAAAAGACAACATATAAACTGAAATGAATCGACTCTAGTTAGTTTCCAATTTTTCCCCTAGTCCATTTATTAAACTTATGTAATTATACTTCAGGCAGGGAAGTACAATATGTTTAGTTATAGGCTGATGTGTGTTATAATATAGAAAACAATGTTGAAAAATAAAAGCGTACTTCTTTCCTAAGAAGCAAGAGGGTGATGGTCACTCAGATGTCACATTGAATTATATGAGAGAAATAATTTAGAGGTTTTTTCCTAGCTTCATGAATTGTTTTATAGAGTGGATGAAGTCTATGAAAAAATCCTCTTCACATATTTCCATTTATAAGCATCTCATTTTTGAAAGTGATCACAGCATGAAAATGACTGTGCTGCTTTTTAGTGTCTGGCTGCATAACGTACAAGTCACAATTTGCTGTTTTTTAGGAGGAAGGGACCCTCCTTTACTATTCTATATCCTAAAATCTACTTCTAATCAGCTTTATACTGTTGCCTGTACAGCTCAGTGAATGTACTTTCATCTTTAAGAGTTCAGATATATGCCAGTGAATATTTTTGCTGTAGAGGAAAAAGTAAAAACTCCACAGCGGGGATCATTTTCTTTGCTTTTGAAACACCATTGAATCACTATCGTTTTGCAGACTTTGCACAACTGTACAGGAGAGTGGCCTTTCTACAGCACATTTTCGGTAATCCTATATTTAGTCAAAATGGATGAGAAATCATGTATTGTTTGTATGGAATTTTGGGTCCAGTGTAATATTTTTATCATTTAAAAAAAAACTCTATTTGTAAAAACATTTATTTACTGCATGGATATTGACGCACATTAAATTTGTGGGATTTTGTATATGTAAAAACAAAACAAAACAAAACAAAACAAAAAAAACCCCTCTTGTCCTAAAATGAAGTGTGCTTGTTACAGGTGTTTAGACTTATTGATGTTTACTAGACCAAACGTGTATGTTCACTTAAAAATATCTGTACCTGATGGATGTGTCATGTATACGGTGGCTAGGGTGTGGCCTACAAACAGCAAGCAGTTGATGGGAAGACTAGCTCTGTTGCTACTAAAGCAGCTTTTACTTTTGTAAAGTCAGCTCTGTTGTTTTAAATGGTAAAAATTAAACTAATGAATTTTACGAGAGTCGTGGCTAGCCTAGCATGAAAGAGACCTTTTAACACTATATAGTATCTGTACATTTTATTGCATTCGTTTCAAATCTAGGAGAGAGGCAGCACTGTAAACTGAAGTCAAATAAATTCAGCTCGTAATGAATCCTTATAAAGCACCTACTTCATTCATGCAAAGTCCTTACCACATTTGTGACCTGATCACATGGCTACCACCCCCGACCCCGTTCCGAATTCTAACTTTGCCATCTCAGTGGTGTGGCACAAGCAAGAAGTAGTACCTGTGCAGAATACTCAAGTATTTTTCTCTAAGACCCTGAAAAATCAAGCTGATTTCCCATTCACCTGACACAAACTTCCTTCTCCTCTTTACTTTTTCTGTGATTCTTTTGTGGAAGTAGGGGGAACCACCAAAAATAAATTAATTTTTTAAAATATAACCTACAGCATTTCTGCAGAATGAACATTTAAAGAGGATAAAAGAAACAGATTTTTGTTTGGTTTGGTTAGATATTCCAGTTAACCGGTGGAGCCTGATATGGCTAAGGATTGCTGAATATGATGTAAAACCAATGAGCTGCCTAAGGCCAGGGCAAAGGCAGCCTAGAGGTGGGGACTGGCAACAGAAGAATTTAACTGAGGATACTTTCTAGAAAAAATAAGTGCTTTCTTAGAGATTTTTTTTTCCCCTCTCAGTTCCATAGTTATATCAAACCATCAGATCAGAACTATAACTATGGCTCTGAATCATAAAATCACAGTTCTCCTTACAATGATTTCATACTATTTAACCAAGGCACTTCCCCTCCGCTATTTATTCAGATGATGCCATCTTCTAGGATTTTATTACAGCCTTTGTAGCCAACAATTTTCTGGGTTTTGTATATAACTTTCTGTGGTACATTTTTTGCCGTTTTTGGCACAAAATAATCACTGTTTTGCACCTAAGGAAACACTTTAAGAGGGAAAATAAGGTCATATTTTATTTTCGAAAGTCCATCTCTAGCCCTGAGAGAGTCTCTGTAAAAATCACCAGCTCACTGAAGCTAATTCATATATCCTTCTATTTGACCCCTCCTGTCTCCCATTCTCAACTCAAAGGGAAATGTTCCTCTTTGGCCAAGGCCTTGTTTGCCTCCTTGACCTTCAGAAGCCACTCTGCTTCCAGAGTCCCAAATCTTAGGAAAAGCCCATCTGTTGCTCTGTAAGACTTTCTCCTCTGTTGCCCAGCGGGGAGGGGTGGGGAGTGGACTAACCCATTCAGCCCAGCACTAAATCTAGAGCCTCTCCAGGCTCTCCCTCCCTCTCCTCGTCCCCACCCTCGGCCAGCTGCAGCACTGCGCACTGCAGGCCGCTCCAGGCCCAGGGCAGCGCGCAGCCAATGTCCTCCCAGCGATCCAGGTCTAGGTCGTAGCCCACCACGTTGCGGGTAGGTACCTGGCGCGAGTCCCGCCATTTAAGGCCGCCCAGCAGGAGCACAGTCTCCTCCACCACGGCCAAGCCATAGGAGAAGCGGTCGTAGGGTAGTGGTCGCAACCGAGTCCACTGGTCTGTGGCAGGGTCGTAACGCTCGATCTCAGAGAAGGGCTCGTATCGTCCCAGAAATGCGAACACTGCGCCGCGCAGCACCGCCATGTGGTGCCCATACCGGGCCGTGCCCATGGGCGCCTTCTTGCTCCACACCCGCTCCCCGGGGTCCAAGGCGTACAGGTCCCGGAGGCTGCTCGCGCCCCCTTCACCTCTCCCCGCCTTGCCCCCAGAGATGTACAGGACACCACGGTCCCCGACGGCCCCCGCGTGGCCGTGCAGCGCCCGCGGCAGCGCCCCAGCCGCCGTCCAGCGGTCCCAGCGCAGCTCGTATATCTCCACCGAGGCCAGAGCCTCGCCGCCCGCGCCCAGGCCCCCGACAGCCAGGAGCCTGTCGCCCACGGCGCCGCACCAGAAGTGGGACCGCCCTTCCCGCATGGCGGGCACCTCAGTCCAAGCGTGGAAGCGCGGGTCATAACGATGCACTTGGGCCGTGACCACTCGCGATCCGTCAGCAGAAGAGGCACTGCCGGAAGGACATTCCCCGCCCAGGACAAACAGGAAGTTGCCCAGGGTGCACACGCTGTGCCCCAGCAGCGGTGTGGGCAGCTGCGTAAGGCTGCGCCAGCGGTGATTATACACGTCGAAGGCCACTACGTTCTGGGTGAGCTCCAACTCCTCCTCTTCTTCCTCCTCCTCCTCTGACTCTTCCTCTTCCTCCACCTCGGGCTCCACCACGACGACCCGGCCCCTAGCTGGCCCCCGCGGGGCTACAACCTCCTCGGTCACTGCCTCCCGCGCCCGGCGCCCCCCGACCAACAAGATGCGGGTCTGGGGGCTCCGGACGCTGGTCTGCTCGCCCTGCATGAGCGGCTGGCGGGAGGGGGCCGTGTGGTAGTTAAGGGCCTGGATGATGAGGCCCTTCACCCGGGCGGGCAGCACGAGGCCGGAACCTGAGTACACGCGCCGCAGCACGTCGGCGGGCACGAGGCCGAAGCGAACACGCTCGAGCAGCGCTGCGCAGTGCGCCTGGCGCTCTGCCGCAGGTTCCTGCCGCAGCCAGGCCAGCGCCAGGCCCAGCAGCCGGGCCTCGGGCACCCGCGCCACGTCGGGGGCCCCCAGCACGGCCCTCAGCGACGTGGGGTTGAGCTCCAGAAGTCCTGCCAGGCCCGCGCCCCGCGCCAGCATCTCCCGCAAGTGGCGCATGATGCAGTGCTCCGCCGCTTCCAGCGTGTGAGCCAGGCCGAAGCGCGCCGCCACGTTGGCGGCAAAACAGCAGTTCTCTGGAGCCAGCTGACGTTCCAGGTAGCGCCCACACAGTCCCAGGGCCTCGGTAACCTGCAGGTAGCTGGCGGCCTCCAGTGTGTCCTCTACGGTGTCCATGGAGAGTGACAGCCAGGCGGTATAGATGAAGTCCAGCAGGCGCTGCAGGCCAGCCGCGGACGGCACGTGTAAGTGGATCACGCGCGCCCGGGATTCCCGAGTGTAGCTCTTGAACAGGGCCCTGAAGTAGTCGCTGGAGCACGCCAGGAGTGACCTGTGAGCCGGGAATTCGCTGCCTTCGGCCTCCAGTATAACGTCACAGAGGAAGCCCTCGGCGCGCAGGGCCTGGTAGCCGGTGAGCAGCGCGCCGCCATGAGCCTTGCAGTAAGACAGGAAGTAACTCATTATGCCCAGGGCGGGAAGCAGGCAGAGATGGAGGCATCCCGGGGCACGGCACTCCAGGCCCCCCCGTGCGAGCCGCAGAGCCCTTAACAGGGGCCCATTTTTGCCTGCTCAGCTTAAAGTCCAGGGCTCCTTCACCCAGATCCGCAGATCGCCCGGTGCCACTCTTAGAGCAAATCCGGTCCGGGAACGGTTTCCAGAAGCCCCTAGTATCGAAGGGCGCGGAGTTTGGAGTCTTCTGGAGAGTGTGGGGTTTGGTTTCCACCGCTGCCGCCCTTTGCCCAAAGCCCCCTCCCCAGCCCAATTCGGAGAGCTCACACCTGCACGCCACGGGCGGCGATGGCTGTGCACCATCACCTGGAAGGGCCGAGCTGCCAGTGGATTCCGGGGGTAGTGGGTCTCCGACGGCGCAGATGCGGCCCCGATTCGGGGCGTCCCAGAAGTGTGGGGCGAAGGCTCTGACCTTCCAGGGCTGGACGAGGAGGACGGGTTCTGCGGGCACCCGCGAGGGCTGGGGACAACTGGTTATGGGGCGGGTGGGGAGGGGGGTGACTTGTTCCGCGCGGAGGATCAAATCAAAGCCTGGGAGATTAGGGAGGGGAGGGCGCGGGTCAGAGCGGCCGGTCCGAGGCATGATTGGGCGCCGCACATAACATGCCGGTAGCTCACAGCGACAGGAATAGCGCGCCGCCTCGGCCTCCCGGGCGCGCCCCGCCCTGCGCCCCGACTGCTGGCCGCAAACCGAGGGCACAGGCGCGGGAGAAGCGGCCCGAGCCAGGGGCTTGACTCCGGTGACCCGACTGGTCGCCAGTCACCACAGGGTCCCTAGAGCCCGGCTGGGGGGGCGGGTCGCAGGAGCCCTTCGGCCCGGTGGTGTCCGGAGAGGGACGCCCGGCTAGGCCAGAGGAGTTTCGACCTCCCGGTGCCCCTGCGTCTGGGAAAGAAGCCCTGGCTCAACTCTCTGCTTTGAGGAGGCCCTAATTAATGCAGCGGGAGCGGGGATTAAGCGGCGACTTTGCGCGCTGACACCCAGTAGGCCGCTGTGCGCTGAGAAGCCACTGGCGGGAACCACGCCCGGGCGAAGCTCAGGCTCCCAGCCAGCGGCGCTAGGTAACACGCCCCTCACCTGGACTCACCCTTGCGAGATGCTGGGCCTACTCAGCGCCCTTCCCGAGGCAGCTCGCGTCTCCCTGGCTGGCTTGTTTCACCTACTGCGTTCGGGAATTTGCTCCCACACCCACCCGCTCCCGACCCCAGTTGAGTTCTCTCCCTTCCTATTCCTGGATCCTGTCCCACCCATCCCTTTGCAGCATGGACAAGGAAATTGTGGGTGACTCGGATTTTCTGCCATTAAATGACCACTTCCTTTAAAAAAATAATTTGTTCCAGTTTCTCTCTCTGACTTTCCGCGCTTTGATCTAATTACCGGCTGCTACATCCTCAATGCCATGACGAGATAATGGACAGTAAGATTGCAAAGCTCGGTAGAGCTGTAGTTTCGCAGGGCTCCTCCTCATAAAGTAATGTTTGTAACAAACACCCAGCACAGAAACGATGACTAAAACCATCCCAATCTTGAAACATTAGGAAAGCATCCCTCCATCTCCTCCATCCTGCTCTTAAATAAGTATAGTTGTTTTTTCTTTGCAAATTTAGAGACTTCTGTTTTGCTTTCATCTAGAATTGATTTTTCTCTTTTCTAATGCAATCACTCTGGCAGTCTGTTTTAGGTGAGCCTATTGAGGGCATCTGAAATAACTTTTATTTGTGACAGTTGGGGTTGCATTTCATAGGGGGAAAAACAGTCCAAGTAAGGATAAAATTCTGTCATTTCCTGCCTGGTATGTCATCAGTACTTACAAGGTCACTAATTAGAAGTAATTCTTTAAATGCATAAAAACGTTAGTAAGATGATTTTGCTGTCAAAGATGGAACTGCATTATGACTTAAATTAGCCAAATTATCAAGTGCAGGCAGGGGCTTGCTTGGGCTTACTTAAACTCCATAGGGTAAAAATACTCCAATTTGAATTCCTAATGTCAGAGCTACAGATGGGTTCAGAGGGGGTGCTGTTTCCGTGAGGATTTTTTTTTATTTTAGCATTAAAATTCTTGTTTCCAAAAGTAAAATACCAGTTTGGTTCACTTTGCACAGATCTACATTTTGAATTTAAATGGCCTTTACTCAACCTAATAGAATTTTGCTAGAAGGGATTTTTGAGATCATTTAGTCAAACCTTAGCCCTTTTCTCTGGAACCTCTTATTTTTCTTTTTAAACAAACATGGCAAATGAGCCCCAGAGAGAGTACGGTTTGTCTAGATGACTCGGATATTGAGTTACGGAGTCCGTACCAGAATCCAGAGCTCCCTCCCCACTATATTATGTGACCTCATGTATGATAAAAATAAAATGGTGCAACACAGTTTATTTAAACCAAATATTCAGGGTGATAAAGTACGTTTATCACCTTATCAACTTAAAGCTGTTCAAGTACGGTTTTTTAAACAGTATATTTTTACCCAGAAGTTGGATCACATCCCATCAGATCTATCCATCGCCACATATTCAGACTGAATCCAAAATGTCACACTTGAGAATTCAAGATGCTGTGAGAGACTTTAAACTCTTAACATCAAAAATCCAGTTTTACCTAACAAGTATGTGTTAATTGCTGGCCCAACATGCTACCTACCTTAACATATTTTGCTGTTGAGGATATCATGAACTATGTTAACTGAAGGCATTTTTATATTAGATGTGTCTATATGGCCTTGTTTAGAAAACGTAACTGTCAATCTAAGAAAATCATTGTCCTTTGAGTAATGTTTATGGAAAAATATTGGTATTTTCATTTCTGTGCAATATTAAGTATGCTAAATAAAATTTCGGTGTGTGCTTTTAAAAATTGTTGTAGATGTGTGTCTTAAGTTGGTGTCTGTGTTCAGCCTGCTATAACAAAATAGCTTAGACTGAGTAATTTATGAACTATAACAATTCATCGTTTACCATTCTAGAGGCTGGGAAGTCCAAAATGAAGGTGCCAGCAGATTTGGTGTCTAGTGAGGGCTCTCTGCTTCGTAAATGGTGCCTTCTGGCTGTGTCCTCACATGGCAGAAGGGGTAAGGGGCTAACAGGCTCCCTCAGGCCTCTTTTATAAGGGCACTAATCACCTCCCAAAGGCCACTTCTTAATACTGTCATGTTGGAGATTAGGTTTCAACATAGTAATTTTGGAAAGACATATACATTCAGACCATAGCAACTGGGTTCCCTGGAAGCGTGCCTCATGACCCAAACTGAACTAATAGTGATGGGCAGATCCGACAGGATGTGGTCATTATGTTGAAAATGATCTGCTTGTGCCCTCCCCCTTTAGACTATAAACTTCGTGAGGGCAAGGACTATTTCTTGGTCTTTGTATCTGAGCCCCTATCATGGTCTTTGGCATAAGTAATGTTGAGTTAAACAGATACAGGGAGGGAGTGAACGGTTATTAAAAGGGACTTGACTGGGACAATTACTTCCTTTTCTCTTGTTCTCCTTCTTTCCTTCATGCAGCTGAGATTTAAGATACATCCTGGTAAAGCCATGAGCTTACATCCCTAGGAAGCAAGTCGGTGACAATAGGTGGCCCCCAACTGGGGATTCCAGGTGGATTCGACTCTGCTGAGAAAGCCTCACTACTTCATCCAGCCCTTGGAGCTGCCCTGCACACAGCCCTGGTCCAACTCACATGGCTGTCAGCATCCAGTCACACATGCTGCTACTCCTCCCACCTGGATGCAGGAACCCAGTGCCCCAGGTGCCTTCCAGCCTCTTGCCCCAGTACCTCCTCCATGCCCCAGTTTGTATGACTGGGCTAATGCTGGAGGCCCAGCTACTCACCCAGCATGCCTGTCGAGACCCTGCAATTTGCCCTGGACACCCCCGCCCCGGTCAGAACTGTGAATTGCTGTCACCAGTCCCTTCCATACATCTGCACGTCCTGTGACAGAACCTAGAACGAAAGTCTTCCAAGCACCCACCTCACTTCCCACATCAAAGCTACAGTGCTAGTCAGCCGTGGTACTCCACTTTCCCCGAATAGGTCCTACCCAGCTAAATCTAAATTCCAGAGTTCTCACCTCTAAAATAGTTGGTATGTGTTTTTAAAAATCCAAAACTATGAGCTTCCATGTATCACAAATCTTTTTAACAAATGTACTCTTTTTGGTAATAGCTTTATTGACATATAATCCACATACCATGCAATTCATCCATTTAAAGTAAACAGTTCAATGGTTCTTAGTATAGTCACTGACTTGTACAACCATCACCGCAGTCTAATTTTAGAATTTTTCATCACCTCAAGAAGAAACCTCGTACCCTTTAGTTGTCAACTGCCTATACCACCAGCCCTCCAATTCCTCAGCAACCACTAATCTACTTTCTATCTCTACAGATTCTCGATATTTCATGTAATTTATCATACAATATGTGGTCTTCTGTGACTGACTCCTTTCACTCATGTTTTCAAGGTTCATCTGTTGTACTTGTGAGGAAGAAAAAGCCTTTGTATAATGATAATATTGGAAGCCTTTTCTCAAAACCACAAGACTCTAAAATTCACCTGTTCAATATTTAAGATACAGTTTTTTGGCAGGTTAGCTCTTTCTCATCTATCATTACTGGCTCCTTTCAATCCAAATATGTTTCCTTCCAACACATGGTTTCTGGCAACCTCCATGGAGAGCCTATTATTAGAAATTGACACATTAACAGTTTATTGTGAAAACATGATCACAAACAATAACAGACATGCAGTAGAAAAAGTCCCATGTTATCTGACCCTTCTTCTGAGACCATTTTTTTTTGTATGTATGTGAATATATTTTATTTATCTTTCTGACATGCAATTCAAGCAAAAGGATATCAAGGGGTGGATTGTGTGTGGGGTGTGTGTACTTATGAGTGATTTTGACATTGTGGCCCAGTTGACAGTTTAAGAAGCAGTGTAGTGGATGGGGAAGTACTGGGCTTTGGACTCAGATTTGGTCTCCAATTCCAGATCTTCCCCATGTGACCTTAAAACAAGTGACTTAAATTCTGTGTCATTTTATTATTTTTAAAAGGAGGATACTGACTCTACATTCATAGCACTGTTAAAATAATATATATAATATATACATAATAATATACATATATACATATATGTGTATATATGACTGCTCCTGGCACACAGTATACACAAGAGATGTGAGTTTTTTCTTCTTCTCCCTCTCTTGACTAAAGCCTTCTAAAAACTTGTGATACCAGAGCCCAAGCAGTCAGGAAACATAATAGAGGAGTTGTCAGTGGTCCTCCTGTAGCATCACCTAGGAACTTGCTAGGAAATGTAAACTTTCAGCCCTATCTCAAACCTGCTGAAACAGAAACCAGGAGTGGGGCCCAGCGATCTGCTTTAACAAGCCCTCCCTGTGACTCTGATGCACATGAAAGTTTGAGAACCACTATCATAGAGGACTGTTAATAATTTTT